CAGGTGGCAATCTTTCTCAACCTTGGTAACTTAACAGACATGCAGACCTCAGCTCCCAGAATCCTCTAGCTCACGGGTAGGCAACCTTGGCTCTTTTGTGACTGGTGGACTTCAACTCCCAGAATTCCTGAGCCAGCCACGCTGAGGGAAAAGGGAGAGGTTTTCAAGCTGATCCAGGCTGGCTCAGGAATTCTGGGAATTGAAGTCCACGAGTCATAAAAGAGCCAAGGCTGCCTACCCCTGGCCTAGTCCATTTTTTCTCCACCTCAGCAACTTTAAGACGTGTGGACTCCAACTCCCAGAATTCCTGAGCCAGCCACACTGAGGGAAAAAGGAGAGGTTTCCAAGCTGAGCCCTGCTGGCTCAGGAATTCTGGGAGTTGAAGTCCACGAGTCATAAAAGAGTCAAGGTTGCCTATCCCTGTTCTAGAGCAATGTTTATCAATGTTGGCAACTTTAAGGGGGGGACTTCAAATCCCATAATTCCACAGCCTGCATACAGTTAGTCAGGGGTCTTCAAAGTTGGCCCTTTTATGACTCATGGACTCCAACTCCCAGAATTCCTGAGAGCCACGCTGAGGGGAAAGGGAGAGGTTTCCAAGCTGAGCCCTGCTGGCTCAGGAATTCTGGGAGTTGAAGTCCTCGAGTCATAAAAGAGCCAAGGTTGCCTATTTCTGCCCTAGCTAGCATGCTGGCTGGGGCATTCTGGGCCTTGAAAGTCACAGAGGCTGGCTGGAAAATTCTGGGAATTGAACTCTGCACATGGTAAGGTTGCTAAAATTGAGAAAGACTTAAGATTGAGAGGAAGAGAAGGTACTTCCTTTTGATAAAACTGTTGTGTTTTTTTTTTGTTCTCCTAGTTTTAACCCTGACTGTTCATCATGGCCGGTCAAGTTATTATCAATCTGGAAGACTCAACCTTGTGGGGTCCTTGATGCTCTCTGAGCCTGGTGGTTTTCTTGCAGACATTTATTACCCAACTAGGAAATATTATCAGTGCTAGAAGGGAGTAGGGTTTGTGGAGAGGAGGAGGAGGAGGAGGAGGAGGAGGAGGAGGACTGTGGGGGTCCTTGGTGCTCTCTGAGCTTGGTGGTTTTCTTGCGGATGTTTCATGACCCAACTACGAAACAGCATCAGCGCTAGTGAGTGTGAGACTTGCTATTAGTTTTACACATCCTCTCCACCAACCAACACCCAGACAAACAGGGATTAACCCCAGATAAACAATCAAACAAAAAACAAGGCCCTAATCAAGAAACACCAAGGAGAAAACCCCACCCGCATCGACAGTGCCAGGACAGGCTGCTGTACATAAACAGGGAACAAGCCTCACTACCTTCTAGCACTGATGATGTTACCTAGTTGGGTCATGAAATGTCTACAAGAAAACCACCAAGCTCAGAGAGCACCAAGGACCCCATAGTTCTGACCTACAAAGATTGTCTTCTGTTGAGACTCAACATGAGCTCCTGGAGAGACCAATAGGCCTTCAAATACCATTTACAGGGGAGGAATGGCAGTAAAACGGACGGTCTCCATCTCCTGCTTTTCAACCCCCTAAAGAGATCTGGTTGGCCACAGGAGAAGCCAATGCTGTATTACAGGGGTCTTCAAACGCGGCCCTTTTATGACTTGTGGACTTCAACTCCCAGAATTCCTCAGCCAGGCACGCTGGCTGAGGAATTCTGGGCGTTGAAGTCCACAAGTCATAAAAAAGCCAAGTTTGAAGACTCCTGCTGTATTAGGATGGGCTGTGACTAAATCAAGCAAGGTTGTTCTTATGTTTTAAAGCAGTGTTTCTCAACCTTGCAACTTTAAAAGGTGTGGGCTTCAACTGGCTGGGAAATTCTGGGAGTTGAAGTCCACACCTCTTAAAAGTTGCAAGGTTGAAAAGGCCCAGTTCTAAGGCTTTCCTCTGCTAAGACAGGGGCCTTCCAACTTGGCCCTTTTATGACTTGTGGACTTCAACTCCCAGAATTCCTCAGCCAGGTACGCTGGCTGAGGAATTCTGGGAGTTGAAGTCCACAAATCAAAGGGCCAGGTTTGAAGACCCCTGTGCTAAGGTAAGGGAGGACACAAGAGCCCCCTCCCAAAATCAAGCAAGAGCTGTAACTTATGGACATCGTATGAAGCAGGACAGAATATTTAAACCTCTTCAGGAGCTCAGCCAGGGTTTTAATTTTGCTGTTTCACGATTCATAATGACCGTAATGTGGGCATAATGGGATTCAAGAGAACCCTCTTTAGCATTGACAGGGTTAGTAGTTCAAATCTAGCCAACAGTTCTAAATGGGTACATTTAAATGTCCCACCCTTTGAATAAATGACCCACTGCTTTTAGCGCTGTAGACAGTCTACAACAGTGATGGCGACCTTTTAGAGACCGAGTGCCCAAACTGCAACCCAAAACCCACTTATTTATCGACAGGTGCCGGCTGGGTGTGGCCCACTGGGTGGACGTGGCTGTGGTGGTCATGGCAGACTGGGTGGATGTGTGGCCAATGTTGCTCATGGGAAGGATGCCTATGGGGGCTGGGCAGGGTGGAGGGAGATTGGGGGGGTCTCTGACAGGTGAGGCAGTGGGCAGGAGAGTCATAATGCTGGGTGAGGCGAGGCAGGGCGGGGGTGCCATTGTCACAGGGCAAGGTGAGGCAGAGGCCGGGGCGGCTGCTGCCTGACACCATAGGCCCCTGCACACAGAGGCCAGTGAGAGCATGGGTGCTGGGATGCATCCGGCCATGTGGGACCTCGGCAAGTTAGCGGGCAGCTGGTTGAAGAGAAACGGTTGCCATCTCCAGGGCATGGCGCGTGTACCCACAGAGAGGGCTCTAAGTGCCGCTTCTGGCACGCGTGCCATAGTTCGCCACCGCTGGTCTACAAGGTACGTCAAAACTTACAGTCCTCAGGCATCCCAAGCCAATATCGGTTTGCAGAGGAAACGTGGAGAGGTTAAAGATCAACATCTAACCCTTTCAATGTGTTTGAGCAAAAGCGTACGCTTTGGAAAGGGAGGAAGGCGCCACGTCAACACACGAATTGTAAAAGTGCACACAGGCCTCAAAATGGTGTCTATGTGATCAGAGCATCGCATGCACTTACCACCCAGATAATCCCAGCCAGATGGGGAAAGGAGAGTTCCTGAAAAATCAGGGTTGGGGTGAGTGAAATATTGTCCTTTGCTGGACCACAATCATGTCACAACACGCGAGGCAGCTGCTCTGTCTACTCGTTATTTTCATTTATCTGGTTATAGTCCACCGTTTTTATTCTTTTTATAAACCACTCGAAGTGGCGAACAGACACAATACTCCGCCCTCCTCTGATTTTTCCCCATAACAACAACCCTGTGAGGTGGGCTGGGCTGAAAGAGAGGGAATGGCTCAAGATCACTCAGCTGCCTTTTGTGCCTAAGGCAGGACTAGAACTCACCGTCTCCTGGTGATTGGCCCAAAGTCACCCAGCTGGCTTTCCTGCCTAAGGCGGGACTAGAAGTCAGTGTCTCTTAATGATTGGCCCAGAGTCACCGAGCCCGCTTTTATGCCTAAGGCGGGACTAGAAGTCAGCATCTCCTGGTGATTGGCCCAAAGTCACCCAGCTGGCTTTCCTGCCTAAGGCGGGACTAGAAGTCAGCGTCTCTTAATGATTGGCCCAGAGTCACCCAGTCAGCTTTTATTTATGTCTTAAGGTGGGACTAGAACTCACCGTCCAACCTCCCCCCCCCTTGAATTCCATGGACTCTTATCTCACCCCAAGCAGGTGACTGAAGAAGATTCCTGTACATTGGCTGTTTAGCAATAAATCAGCATTACTGGACCTTCACATGCAGACCTGATCTTTCCCACCTGACTCTGTCGTCTCTGTCTGTGAAGGAGTGGCAGAGTCAAGAAAGAAATCAGCCTAGAATCCCTACATAGCCACAAGCGGACTAAGCCCTACCTTGCTTGAATGTCACTGACCCTTATTTAACTCCAAGCAGGTGGTACCAAGATCTTGGCATCTGGCCCTCTCAATTCCTGGCAAATAGATGGGGAAGAAATGGAGGCAGTGACAGATTTTATCTTCCTGGGCTCCAAGATCACATCAGATGGGGACTGCAGCCAAGAAATTAAAAGACGCTTGCTCCTGGGGAGGAAAGCTATGGCATATCTAGACAGCATACTAAAAAGCAGAGACATCACCCTGCCAACAAAAGTGTGTATAGTCAAGACCATGGTTTTCCCAGTTGCAATGCATGGCTGTGAAAGTTGGACCATAAGAAAGGCTGAGCGCCAAAGAATGGAGGCCTTTGAACTCTGGTGCTGGAGAAGACTCCTGCGAGTCCCCTGGACTGCAAGGCGATCCAACCGGTCAGTCCTAGAGGAGATCAACCCCGACTGCTCTTTAGAAGGCCAGATCCTGTAGTTGAAACTCAAGTACTTTGGCCACCTAATGAGAAGGAAGGACTCACTGAAGAGCCTGATGCTGGGAAAGATGGAGGGCAAGAGAAGAAGGGGACGACAGAGAAGGAGGTGGCTGGATGGAGTCACTGAAGCAGGAGGCGTGAGCTTCAATGGACTCCAGAAGATGGTAGAGGACAGGAAGGCGTGGAGCAGGGATAGACAACCTTGGCTCTTTTATGACTCGTGGACTTCAACTCCCAGAATTCCTGAGCCAGCCACGCTGAGGGGAAAGGGAGACGTTTCCAAGCTGAGCCATGCTGGCTCAGGAATTCTGGGAGTTGAAGCCCACGAGTCATAAAAGAGCCAAGGTTGCCTACCCTTGGCCTGGAGGAACGTTGTCCATGGGGTCGCGATGGGTCGGACACGACTTTGCAACTAACAACAACAACAAGAAGGTGGTAGTCAGGAGTTAAGAAGACTTCCAGTGCATGGGCAATGTAGCAATAAATCAGTTTAGTTGGACCTTCATGCGTGGACCTGATCTTTTTGTACCTGACAAAATTCTTTGGAAGGATTATGTAAAAAAACAGACAAACAAAAAGAGTGATGCTAACTCAATCGCTTACCTCATATCTCCAAACTTCCGGCTGATTGCAGAGCCCACGTTGGACAGAGCAGCTGAGGTCTTCTGCCCGGCCTGATAGAGCGTTTCCTGGGTCTTCTTATAGCTAGAGAAAAACAAGAATTGGGAAGGAAGGCCGTCATTAACTGAGAGCGGCCTCTAAGGAGCAAAGGAAGACACAGCTGGCGCTTGAACAACAGGAGGCAGGAAAAGCAGAGGCGTGTACGCATCCTGCGCACACAACTGGAGGGTTTGCCAAGCTTTGCAACTACCGTAGGGAGCGAAACAGGCTAGCAAAACAGGTTCAAGCAAGGATGTGATCCTTCTAAAGACACGCTCCCTCGTGGCCAGATTTTGAGAGATGCTCAAGATACAGCGAAGTCCTGAACTTACGACTACGCGATCAGAATTTCCACCGCTAAGCAAAGAGGTTATTAAGTGAGTCACGGCCAGTTTTGCAAACTTTTTTTTTTTTTTTTAAATCATGGTTGTTAAGGAAATCACTGCTGGGAAGGTTGCAACTAGCGATCACGTGACTCTGGAAAAATACAGGCCTGTGGCCCAGATCCGGAATATTGACCGCGTGACTGTGGGGATGCTGTGACGGTCGTAAGTGCAAGGAAGGGTTGCAAGTCACTTTTTTCCCCCCACACTGTTATAACTTCAAACGGTCATTAAACCAGGGGTCTTCGAACTTGGTCCTTTTATGACTTGTGGACTTCAACTCCCAGAATTCCTCAGCCAGGCACGCGTGCCTGGCTGAGGAATTCTGGGAGTTGAAGTCCACAAGTCATAAAAGGGCCAAGTTTGAAGACCCCTGCTGTAAATCAAGTTGTATGTTCTCTGGCTGGTTGATGATAATGATTTAAGGAGGATTAACACTCTTTATTCTGGTTTATCTGCCGTTATTGTCAAATGTTTCTTCATATATTTTTTTGCATTGTTTAAGGAGATCACAAAGAAGGGGGGGATCATACTACCCCAGGACGCTGCCACCGTCATAAATATGAGTCAGTGGCCAAGCATCCGAATGTAAATCAATGAGCACAAGGATTCTGCGGCAGTTGTTAAGTGTGAAAAAGGGTTGTAAGTCACGAGTTTCAGGACCGTTGTAACTTTGAACTGTCCCCTCGTAAACTAAATAAACTAAACCGTCACTAAACAAAAGGTGGTAAGTCAAGGACTACCTGTACTCAGTCTGTTGTAACTTTGAATGATCACTAAGTGACCAGTCATAAATCAAGGACTACATATGGTTGTGCTCATCCCATCTCTGCTAGACCTAACAAACACATACACACCAATAAAAGCACAGCACTCAACCGTTCTCCTTTCTGCAAAAGAATAGCAGAATGATAAGAGTTGGAAGGGACCTTGGAGGTCATCTAGCCCAACCCCCTGCTCAGGCAGGAAACCCTTTACCATTTCAAACAAATGGTTGTTCAATCTCTTCTTTAAAACTTCCAGTGTTGGAGCACCCACAACTTCTGGAGGCAAGTAGTTCCACTGATTAATTGCTCTCACTGTCAGGAAATTTCTCCTTAGTTCTAGACTGCTTCTCTCCTTGATTAGTTTCCATCCACCGGAGTGAAAACCAATTTATAATACTTATTTTATAATAATTAAGTTGATAATTTAATGCATTTGGATCCCTTCCATCCAAACTCTCCACAGTTCAACCCAGCTCTGGAATTGACGTTACAGCAGCGCTTCTCAAATCAGGCCACATCTAAGCATGCTGGATGGCTGGGGAATTCTGGGAGTTGAAGTCCACCCAGCTAAAAGGTTGAGAAACACTGAGCTTCAGTTTGAACTCTGAGTTGGGTTACATCTCCAAAAGAGGTGTTCGCTCTGAGTCCAAGACAGGAAATAAAATTCTCTGCTCAGCACTGCTCAATCATTATTTCAAATAGGGAGAGTTGCTTTTTTATTCCTAGGCCGGGACATTTGCAAGTTTGCTGGCGCCACTGCAGGAAATACAGCGGAGGAAGCAAAAGTTACAAATGCCAGGATGAAGGAATGGGGATGTAGGAATAGGTAGACCTGGGTTCTAATCTCAATCAGAATAGAACAGAGCTGGAAGGGACCTTGGAGGTCTTCTAGTCCAACCCCTTGTTCGAGCAGGAGACCCTATACAGCAGGGGTCTTCAAACTTGGCCCTTTTATGACTTGTGGACTTCAACTCCCAGAATTCCTCAGCCGAATTCTGGGAGTTGAAGTCCACAAGTCATAAAAGGGCCAGGTTTGAAGACCCCTGATTTACAGGAATGAGTTCAGAGACCCAAAGACAAAATGTATTTCCGATTCACAGAATACAGGTAGTCCTCGCCTTACGACCACAATCGAGCCCCAAATTTTTGTCGCTAAGTAAAACATTTGTTAAGTGAATGTTGCCCCGTTTTACGACCTTCCTTGCCACGGTTGCTAAGTGAATCGCTGCAGCTGTTAAGTTAGTAACACAATTGTTAAGTGAACCTGGCTTCCCCATTGACTTTGCTTATCAGAAGATCGCCAAAGACGATGATGTGACCCAGGGACACTGCAACCATCATAAATACGAGTCAGTTGCCAAGCGTTCGAGTTTTGATTACGTGACCCTGGGGACGCTGCAACGGGTCGTTAAGTGTGAAAAATGGTCATAAGTCACTTTTTTTCAGTGCCGTTAACGGGTATGGGTGCCAAGCAGAACAGCGGAGTCTTAAAATTACCCCTAAAGTCTTTTTTCAGTACCGTTGTAACTTTCGCCACTAAACAAATAGTTGTTAAGTCAAGGATTACCTGTACCATGTTAGGCAAACATATCCACTTTGCTAACCGACTAAATTCTACAACTTTAGAATTGTCGAATCGACAATTGTGGGGCCAATCCACGTACAGCAAGTCCTCGGCTTACAAACATAACTGAGCCTGCCCATTACAGTTGTGTTGACAGTTGGAAAGTCAATTTTGGGACCTTTCTGTGGCCGTTGTTCAATGAACCCTGCGGTCGTTCGGCAATTTCAATAATGTCACCTGCAGCAATCCTTTTTCTCATGACTTCTATCCCTCTTTCAGTTTTGTTTTCACCATTTCCATGGTGTGTGTTACAACCCGGTTGTTGGGAGGGGGCTGATTTCTTTCTTCTTGCAGGATCAGCCATGATCCTGGGGGGGGGGGGAGATATGGGTGCTACAATATATCCTCTCTGCTTTCCTCTATCTACTTGCTCTTTGATCTATTTCCCTTGATGCCGGCCTGGGGTGAGAATGGAATGTGCCTCCGGCCATCTGCCTTATCTCTAGCTGCGGAAGAAGAGGCCCGAAGACCTAACAGCTTTGGGAACGGCACCTTATCAGCCCCATTCCCACAGCAGATTCACACCTGGGGATTGGGCCATTTGAACGGGCCGGATTGACTATTGGGGTGGGGGTTTGCCAGTTACTCTTTTAACCTATTGATTCGCGCCGGAAACCCTCAGATCCCGCCTTCTATGCCTGCCGTCAACTTCTCCTAATAAAAGTTCCTTTGGGAATGAAGCCGTTCCAGGAGTCCTGCTTTCTTGGGAAGAGGGATTGAGGCGGGGCCTTGCGGTTTTCAGTTATGGGGTTGCTGGTGCCGCGACGTTTGAACTGCCCAAGTGTTGCAAGGCTGCAACAGGATTAAAACCGAATAAGTGAAAAGGAGTGCAGGTCCTCGGCATACAACTCAGAATTTCCGCAAGGCGGCAGCGGTGGCGGTTAAGTGAGTCGTGCCCAATTTTACGACTTTTTTTTTGCCACGGTTGTTAAATAAACCTTGCCAATCATGTGGTCGTTAAATGAATCCAGCTTCCCCACTGACTTTGCTTATGGCCAGCTGGCTTGGAAGATCAGAAATAGCGATCAGAAACGACCCTGGATGCTGCTGCAACCGTTTCAAATACTTGCCAAGCCCCCAGATTTTGATCACGGGACAGCGGGGATGCTTGCAACGGTTATAACTTTGAGGACTGGCGGCAGGTCGCTTTTCTTTTTTTAGCGTCACTGTAACTTTGAACAGCTGCTAAGCAAATGGTTGTAAATCGAGGACTGTCGGTAAAACAGCATGTAAAATTTAACTTGCTTCATCTTAATGGGGGCTTTCGAAATAGGCTGGAATCAATGAGATAAATAAAGGAGAATCTTTGTAGCTCAGGGTTGACATGAGCGCTCCGTGGTGCTCTCTGAGCTTGGGTGTTTTCTTGCAGACATTTTATGACCCAACTAGGTAACACCATCAGTGCTAGAAGGGAGGGGAGGAGGAGAACTGTGGGGTCCTTGGTGCTTTCTGAGCTTGGTGCTTTTCTTGCAGATGTTTCATGACCCAATTAGGGAACATCATCAGTGCTAGAAAGGAGTGGGAGGTATGGGGAGGAGGGGGAGAGGGGAAGAGGACGACTGTGGGGGGTCCATGGTGCTTTCTGAGCTTGGATGCTTTCGTGCAGACATTTCATGACCCAACTAGGTAACATCATCAGTGCTAGAAGTGAGTGGGGTTTGTGGAAAGGAGGAGGAGGAGGAGGAGGAGGAGGAGGAGGAGGAGGAGGAGGAGGACGACGACGACGACGACGACGACGACGACGACGACGACTGTGGGGTCCTTGGTGCTGTCTGAACTTGGTTGTTTTCTTGCAGACCTTTCATGACCGAACTCAGTAACATCATCAGTGCTAGAAGGGAATGAAGTTTGCTGAGGAGGAGGGGGAGGAGGGGGAAGAGGAGGAGGAGGAGGAACAGGAGGACTGTGGGTTCCTTGGTGCTCTCTGAGCTTGGTGGTTTTCTTGCAGACGTTTCATGACCCAACTAGGTAACACCATCAGTGCTAGAAGAGAGTGGGGTTTGTGGAAAGGAGGAGGAAGAGGAGGAGGAGGAGGAGGAGGAAGAGGAGGACGACTGTGGAATCTTTGATGCTCTCTGAGCTTGGTGGCTTACTTGCAGACGTTTTATTACCAAACTAGGTAACAGCATCAGCACTAACTAGCGCCAACAACGATGATGTCACCTAGTTTGACTCGTGAAACATCTGCAGGCAAGCCACCAAGCTCAGAGATCAACCAAGGACCGCTCATTTCAATCCCAGGCTACAAATAGTCTCCTTTATTGATAAGCA